ACACTCTAAAATCCAGACTCTCTGATACTTGAAGACTCTCTACTTCTTCCCTATATATCGATCTGGTCAAATAGCACCCCGGCCACCAAGCTGCCCTTCAGCATGAGCACTTGGGCACAAGCACCACACTTCACAAGAATCTAACTTTGAAGTAAGCATTATTCTCCCTTCTGTTCTTTTTGGTGGGGGTATGTGTACTGGGGATTGAACTCAGGGGCACTCAGCCACTGAACCACACTTTCAGCTCTATTTTGAATTTTTATTTAGAGACAGGGTCTCACTGAGTTGCTTAGCGCCTTGCCATTGATGAGGCTGGTTTTGAATTTGAGATCTTCCTGTCTTAGCCTCCGGAGCCGCTGGGATTACAGACATGCACTTCAGTGTTCTTTTTAGCTGATCCTCCTTCAGAAACTTGGAGAAGACGGAAGAGGGAAGGGCAAAAAGACAAGGATGGGAAAGGAAAGGGATGTGCTTAAGCACTAGTGAGGAAGCTGATGAGACTTCTGCCCTGGAGACAGGTTGAAAGGAACCCTGAGGTCTCTGCTTGCCTGTTGGTGCCTGTCCACTTGCTCCACACCTCTCTCCATTTTTACTCCCTCCACCTGATGGGAGGCATTATGAGGCTGGCTGGGTGAAGGTCTTGGGAGACTCAAATTGAGAGGGCTACTTTCCCAGGTTGCTGCAGCTGTTGGACGCAAGCTTGCCCCACTCATTGGCAGCGCCTATGCCCTGCAGAGGAGTTTCCTTCCTCAGCAGGCATCACACTGCAAAACCCTCCCGCTCCATCCCAACAGGTGAAATGCAGCCACTATGTGATAGACAATTGATTTATAATAAAAAGTACTCATTTTAGTTTTCATTCCTGTTCCAGGCACAGAGCTCTGAAAACCCTTACAATTTCCTAAAACTACGAGTGCTAGGAGAAGCTTTTTTCCCTTATATCTGGTCTTTACTTGGGCTCCTGATACATAGCTTCTAATCCCTCAGAATTTTCCAGGCAATAGGAGTGTCTTTCATGGGTTCCTGGATGGGGGATGGTCATCAGAAAAAACAAGCCATGATTAGAAGATTAGAACTTTCAGCTCTACCCCTCTTTCTCTGGAGAGGGGAAGAGGGGCCAAAGATTGAGTTAATTATCAAACATGTCTAAGTGATGAAACCTCCATAAAAATCCCTGAACTGTGGGGTTGAGAGCTTCCTGGCTGCTAAGCACATGGAGGTTCCTGGAGGGTAGTGCATCCGAGGAGGGCATGGAGGCTCCATGTCCTTCCCACGTGCCAATGCATCTTTCCCATTGAACTGTTCCACTGTAACCTGCATAATAAATGGGTAAAGATAAATAAAGTGGGGCTGGGGTTGTGGCTCAGTGGTGGAGTGCTCGCTTAGCACATGCAAGGCCCTGGGTTCGATTCTCAGCACCACATATAAATAAATAAAATAAAGGTATTGAGAACAGCAAAATAAATATTTGGGGATAAAAAAAGTAAAGTGAGCTGGGTATGGTGGCACACGACTGTAATCCCAATGGCTTGGAAGGCTAAGGCAGGAGGATTACAAGTTCAAAGCTAGCCTCAGCAAGTTAGCGAGACCCTATGTCTAAATAAGATATTAAAAAGGGCTGGGGATATGGGTCAATGTTTAAGCACTTCTGAGTTCAACCCCCAGTACCAAAAACAAAGTAGAGTGTTGCTTGTAGTTGGTTCTAGCACATTGATCAAGCCTTAGAAAGAGGTCTTGTGAACCCTGATTTATACCTGGCCATTCAGAAGCACAGGTCACAACCTGGGGCTCGAGAGAGGCATCTGAAGTAGGCAGTTTGTGGGACAGATCCTTTAACCTGTGGAGTCTACACTGACTCTGGTTAGTGCAGAACTGAGTTAAACTGTAGGACATATAGCTGGCATCTACTGGAGGATATTTGATGTGTAGAAAAACAGAGTATGGAATATATGGTGAGTAGCATGAGGTTAGTCTTTCCTATCTCACACAAAACACTTCATGATAAAGACATTCCACAAACTGGGACTAGACTGGAACTCTCTCAGCTCTATCAAGAATACATAAGGATAAACCCAGCATGGTGGTGCACACTTGTAATTCCAGCTTTCTCATGAGGCTAAGGCAAGAGGATTATAAATTTGAGATCGAGCCGGGCAAGGTAGTCTCTATCTCAAAATAAAATAAAAAGGGCTGGGGATGTAGCTCAGTGGTACAGCACCCCTGGATTCCATCCACAGTAATACAGTGGGGTAACCAAGAATACATATGAACAGCTAACACCATATTTTTTAGCTAACAAGATCAGAATGTCAGCTCTCAACATTTTTAGCCTAAATTTTACTGGAGGTTCTAGCCAGGGCAATGAAGCAAGAAAAAGAAATAAAGAGCATTAGATCAAGCAGGAGGAAGTAAAACTATCACTGTTGGTAGATGTCATGATTTTACACATAGAAACTCATTATAAATTACCAGAACTAAACAAGTTAAACAAAGTTATAGGATATGGGATCAATATTAAAAAAAAAAATCAATCTATTAAAGTTTTTTTTTGTGTGGGGAGACTGAACCCGAGGGGGCATTTTACCACTAAGTTGCATACAGCCTTAGTCCTTTTTTTTTTTTTTTAACTTTTAATTTTGAGACACTCTAAGTTGCTGAGGCTGGTCTCAAACTTGGCAATCTTCCTGCTTCAGTCTCCTGAGTTGCTGGGATTACAGAGGTATGCACCACTATTCAATACACCCTCAATGAATAATGCAAAAATTAAGTGTAGGACTGGGGTTGTGGCTCAGTGGTAGAGCACTCGCCTACCACGCATGAGGCACTGGGTTTGATCCTCAGCACCACATAAAAATAATAGATAGATATTGTGTCCACCTAAAACTAAAAAATAAATATTAAAAAAAAAATTTAACTGTAAAACGTATACTCTGAAAACCACAAAGCTGTGACAGACCAAAATCTAAAGGTCAGTCCATGACCATGGACTGGAAGACACAATACTATTAAGATGACTTTACCTGATATTTTATCTATAGACTCAATGCAAACCCTATCAAACTTTCAACAGTGTTTTTGTCTGTTTATTTGTTTTTCCAGATATGGCTAAGATGATCCTAAAATTCACATGGAACATCAAGGGACCCAGAATAGTCAAAACAATCTTCAGGGAAAAAAAAAAATTGGAAAACTCAGTTTCAAAAGCTATGTTTTATCAAAATAGTGGGGCACTAAAGACAGACTGAAAGTAAGTTCATACATCCATCTATGGTCAATCAACTTTCAACAAAAGTGCCAAGATCATTCACTGAGGAAAGAACAGTCATTTCTACAAATCATGCAAGGACAATTGGATATCCACCTGGAGAAGAATAAACTGGGACCACTTTATATGATATACAAAAATTAATTTAAAATGGATCAAAAAAATAAATTCAGGAGATAAAACTAAAAAACTCTTAGGGAAAAAAAAGGTATAAATCTTTATTCAAAATCCATAGGTTTGATATGACACAAAAGAAAAAAAATATATTAGACTTCATCAAAATTAAAATTGCTGGGCTGGGATTGTGGCTCAGTGGCAGAGTGCTTGCCTCACATGTGTGAGGTACTGGGTTCAATCCACAGCACCACATAAAAATAAATAAATAAAATAAAGGTATTGTGTCCATCTACAACTAAAAAAATATTTTTTAAAAATAAAATTGTTTGCTTTGGAGAACACCATTAAGAATGAAAACTCACAGAATGGGAGAAAATATTTAAAAAAAATTTTTTTTTTAGATATTTATGGACCTTTATTTTATTAATTTATTTATAAGTGGTGCTGAGAATTGAACACAGTGCCTCATACATACTAGGCAAGTGCTCTTCCACTGAACCACAATTCCAGTCCTGGGAGAAAATATTTTTGCAAACTAAGCTCCATAGGTGCTTGTATCCAGAAATGCAAAGTATTCTTAAAACTCAACAATAAAAAGACAATCCAATTTAACAATGAGCAAAGCAAGAGACACATATCATCATGAGCCATTAGGGAAATCCAAATAAAATCCACAATGAAATACCATTTCATACCCACTGGGATGACCACAATAACAGTAATAACAATAAAAAAGACAGATAATAACAAGTGTCGGCAAGGATGTGGAGAAATTAAAACCTAATACACCACTGGTTGTGATGTAAAATAGTGCAGCTATTTTGGAAAAGCCTGGCAGCTACTCAAAAGGTCAAACACGAGTTACCATACCACTCAGCAATTCTTCTCTTGGTTAAATACATGAGAGTACTGAAAACACATGTCCTCATAAAGATTTATATGTGAATGTTTTACCGTAACATTATTCATAAAAATAAAAAACTGGAAATAACCCAAATGTCCATCAACTGATGAATGGATAAATAAAGCAGTATATATCATTTACAATAAAATACTATTTGGCAATAAAAATAAAGTACTAATACATGCTATAACATGGATAAACCTTGTAAATAACTACGATATGTGAAAGAATCTGGTTACAAAAGGTCACATACTGTATGACTTCATTTACATGAAATGCCCAGAACAGGCAAATCTATAAAGCTAGAAGGCAGATGGGTGGTTGCGGGGTGGGGGTGGGGGTGTGTCTGGGGGGAGGGGAAGGAAGTTGAGTGACTCTAGACTGGTAGGAGCTTTTTTACAAGGTAACGAAAATGTTAAAAAAATCTACTGTGGTGATGGCTACACAACTGTGAGTACACTAGAAGACACTGAACTGTACATTTAAATATGCGAAGCACATGTGAATCAGACGAAGAAAACTGTTATTAAAAAATTACCAAAAAAAAAAAATTACCCCATTTTACTCCTTCATATTTATTCTCTGCATTCTTTTAGAATTTATAAACAGAAGAGGTCCAGGAGAGGTAAAAAGAACTATAAAGAAGGGAGATGACCAAATTGTATGTCCTGGCCCTCTGGATGCCCTGGGCAAGGGTATGCGTTCTCAGCTTACCTGCGTCGATGGCACATGGGTAATGGTATCGGAAGGAGCAGCCTTTGTTGTAGCAGCCCAGGGTGGCGCCGGCCTCCTGGCAGTGGGAGCATTTCTGAAAAGAAGGAAGAAACCAGGCATGTGAATATCCCAGATTTGCCTCTCTCCTGCTGGCCTTCCCCAGATCCTGCTGGCTAGACCTTGGCCAGTGTCTCTGTGGCTAGAGGAGTCTCTGATGGCAAGATGGGCTGGTCCACTTCTCACTGCTGCTTGCTGACCATGCACAGGAAAGGATTCACAATGTGTTTTAAGGCCAGTCCTCACAAATGATCTCAAGTCAAGTGGAACACCACACTGGGGGGAGACCACTGACCCTACAGCACGTGGCGGACATGCCAGAGAGTGGTATGACCAGTTCTGCTGCTGATGTCCCTGGAGTCCACTCACTCACATGCCTGACATTCACAGCCATCATGAGCTGCCTGCAGATCCTGTGTATTTCTGCTGTGAAAATCTAGGGTAGGAGGAGAGGGTTAAGGTAGTAGAGATAAATATAAACCTTTTAGAATTAAAAGTGGAACTTAGTTTCTAGTTCTTGTATTTATAAGATGTTATTTTTATTTTTGATCTACTTACCCCAAATGCCCAATACAAGTATATTTCCCTTTTCAGAAAATATGGGCTCCTGTATGGAAATGGTATTTTTATACATGAGTCCTATTTTAAATGCACTAGGAGAACTGCCATGAATTCCTGGCTAAGTGAGACATTATTCTGTAATTATGATGCTCCTCCTTATATGGTCAGGTTTTCTAAAAGTGGGGCACATCTCTGTGGTTCCTGTGATGTGGGCTATGAATGCTCTTCCTGTATGCATAGGAAATAGGTGTCCCATCAACAACAATCATATTCATAACATTCAACCACACGTAGCCCTACTGAGGAAGGGTGTGGACTCTCTAGGTGGCCTGGCACACCCTGGAAGGCTAACTGAAGACAGGGATCTTTGTTTCTGCTTCTACCCAAAACAAAACAAAATGACCAAACAAACAATAGCAACAACAAAAAGAACAAAAAGCAAAAAGTGTTTCCTAAGCACTGAAGCTGGCTCAAGCCCTCCCAGTACCAAAGCTGATGGTTAACCAAGGCTGGCAACACTGGAGCCCACGTCACTAGGTGTCAGGATGGCTGTGGTGATGCCCGTGGGGTAGGGGCCCCGTACCATCTCACTACAGAGATGAGATGGCTGAGGCACCAGAGGTGAGGGACCTTGTTCCAGGTCAGAATGGACGGCAGCCTCCAGAGACAAATGGGAGAATAGGGCTGTAAGACAAGTCCTTCAAGAGCCTCGTCCTCCATTCACATGACCAAGATCCTTCTGGGTGCCCCAAATCAATAAATGTGATCATGTGCCCTCATGCCCTTGCCGAGAAAGCAAAGCTCATCAGGCGTGTAGTCAGCCAAGGGCAGTCCACAGCACTTCCAGCAGCACTAGACAGGCTCCTTTTGTCTGTGCCACAGGGCACCTTCAGGAAAAAGGTAGTGTCACCAACTTGAGGAAATGAAGTAAGGCTGGTCTGTCAGTGAGCAACAGGAAGCCATTCCTGCTGCCTTTCTTACTAAGGGAGCCTGAGCATTCAGCTACCCTGAGGGCTGGGCTTCAGGCCCTCCCCACCCTGGTAGGGACTCTCAGTTAGCAGTGGCCATCTGGAAACAGGAGGCCAAGCATTTCTGGCAGGGAAGTCTGCATGGAACGGGCCTCTGTGAAAGCTTTACTCCCTTACAGAGGGAGGAGACAAGGGAGCAGGTCATCTTCTTGCTCAGTCTCTGATACAGGACAGCAGGTTCTGTGGCAGCCATCTTATGATCACAAGGGGACAGTCCTGAAGACAAAACCCATCTGTTGGGAACAGTAGCATGACAAGATATGGATGTGGACCCACTGTGACACTGCTGAGCACCACACTAACCTCCTCCAGGACCACCTGCCTCCAGATTTGTTACACGACAAGATACTTAAGAAACACACACAGAGAAATCTCATTTTTAAGTTGCATAACTTGCAATCAAAATACCCTCACTGATACAGGAAGGGATCAACTATGTGAGGCAATTCTGTACAAGAGTTAAGTGTGTGAACTCTGGAACCTACACAACTGGTTGGTAAATGACTCTACATTGTCTACCTCTGCCTTCCTGGCCAAATTCCTAACCTTTGTTCCCTCCATCTGCAAAACTAGGAGTGACATAACAACTCCACTGTGGAAACAGCCACATGCCCTTCAATAAATGAATGGATAAAGAAACTGTGGTATAAGTACACAATGGAATATAACTCAGCCTTAAAGAGGAATGAAATTATTGTATTTATGGGTAAATGGATGGAGTTGGAGAATATCATGCTAAGTGAAGTAAGCCAATCCCAAAAAAGCAAAGGCCACATGTTTTCTCTGATAAGTGGATGCTGATCCATAATGGAGGGTGAAATGGAGGAAATTTGGATTGAGCAGAGAGGAGGGAGGAAGAAGAGGCAACAAGCATGTGTGGGGAAGATAGTGGAATGAGATGGACATTATTATCCCTACATATGGATGTGATTGCATGAATGGTGTGACTCTACATCATGTACAATCAGAGAAATAAAAAGTTGTGCTCCATTTGTGTAGTAAATAAATAAATAAAATAAAAAAGTAAATCAATCAATCAATCAATCCATGTATTTAAGAAGGGGGAAAAAAGTGGGAGTGACCCACCTCAGAGCAATATCGTGAGGGTAGAATGCGTTAACCCAGACTCCCAACAGTGGCTGGATCAAAAGTGCTCAGTAATGTGACCCAAGCTGACCACGTGCCAGGCATACACCAGATGATCTACACAGACTACTGTGTGAAACGCAACTGCAGAGAGGGCCTTGTCACCACCCCAGCTCACAGATAAGGATCAAGACCTCAACATCTGCCTCCCTGTCCCCACAGGGCATCCTGAAGCTCCCCACTCTGACCAGCCCACAGACCACACAGTCCATCTTTTTTCACAAAAGAAAGGTAACTCATGGCTCACCAGGAAGTTACATCAATAAAATGATGCTTGATTCTTTTTGCTACAAAGCATAATTAATTACCTGTGTTGATCCAAAGAGGAAACCCTGCAGGATACAGGGCCTTAGGGCCTTAAAGAAAGCACCTTAAAGACAAATTTAGTTCAGTAGTTCTCCAAGTGTGGACCCTAGACAAGTTCCTTGGAACTTGCTTGAAACATAAATTCTCAGGCCTCATCTCACTAGTGTTCTTGAAGCCACTCTGAGGCACAAGAGTTTCAGAAACATTATCTATTGAACGCTTCCAAAATCAACTTGCCAATTTTTTAGATGCATAAAACAGAGACCTAGAGGGATAAATGACTGGCCTGATTCCAGGTTTTGTGAGAATCATTTTAGTGCTTTCTCCACTATACTTCTGTTCCCTGTAGAGCAACCTATAGATTATGGGTATGGGAGACAGAATTAGAGATGCCCCATCGATGTCCCAACGACTCCTTAACATGGCAAAAAGAAATTCGCAGATGTGATTAAGTCAAGGCCTCGAGACAGGGACAGTAGACTTGATTGTTCTGACAGGCCCAATCTAACCTCATAGCTCATAAAATCAAAGACCCTCCCCCAGAATGGGTTATATTTGTAGGCTTTACAAAGACATGGAAATGGGAGCAGGGTCATAAAGATGCAAGACCACTGGCTCTGAAGGCAGAAGAAAGGGGCATGAGCCAAGGAATGTGGGCAGCTGCAGAAGCTGGGAAAGGCAGGCACCCAGCACAGCCAATACCTCAGCTCTAGCCCAGGGATACCCACACTGGCCTCTAATGTGCATAACTGGAAGTTTAACAGTGTGTGGTAGTGTACGGCAACAGCAGACAACAAACAGGATCAGATTTGGGATCGCTCACTTTCCTTTTACATCTCTAGTGCAACCAACTTCTCCCTCATGGAAACATGTACTATTTCACCCACTTTTTATGAGGCCAGTTTGGGTAGCATGAGGTCCCTGAAGAAGGGATGCTGAATTGGTACCTTTCTTCTAGCTGAATAAACAGAGGCAAAGGGACCTGCTGAAGACCATACTGCTAGGAGGGAACAGAACTGAGAGCTGCAGCCTTTTTTCTTCTGACCCCAAGTTCAACATTCTTCACTTCATAGCACGATGCCTTCTAGTCTCCTCCATTCACTCAACTATCTAACATGTGAAATACCTCCTAAATGAGGAGTCAAAGACAGAATACAAAAATTTAACTCTACAAAACCTCCCCTATCTATTGAACCCTTCCATCTGCAAATCGATGCCCAGGCCAATGTTAACTTCCAATTAGATTTTTATTCTTTGCCTTTTACCTGAAGAAGTAATTTGCACTGTCCTCCTCCTTCCTGCAAATAATACAATAAAATCACTGCCCAGATGTTCTTGATTTCAGAGTTACTCTATATTCCAAAGTGAATGATATTCATCCCTAGGTGAGCCGAGTTCCCCACACACAGTGAGAAGCGGGTGCTTTAGGCATAGTTTCTGAAAGTTACATTTTTTCAAAAAGGAAACATCCCAAACTTCTGATGAAGGAATAAATGATCTCTTAATAAGATATTTTTCATTTATTATGGAAGGGAATAAAGGCTATTTTCAAGCAACTCTGACAAGAACCCTGCATTTCTTGATGTTGTGAACTTGGGAAATAAAATTATGAAACTTATTATTAGTTTCTGGGCAGGTTTAAATAGACCCCAGCCCAACCCTTTCACCAGAAATTGTCACTGTCCCAGAGGCAGGGCTCGCTGACTTAAGGTGGCAAACTGCAGGGACAGAATCAACTAGGAACTGACTGGTCCTGCTCAAAGGAAAACTCCAGGGAGAACTGCACATGCCTCTTCACTCTCAGAACAACTCTTTCCTCTGAGAGGGAACAGCCACCTGAGTAATCACAGTGCTCAGAAGGCATCTTGGAGCAGCCGCCAGTGCTGCAACAATGCGTCAGAGCATTATCGGTGCCTTGATGACGACCACGTCTGCAAGAACCTTGCTGACCACACACACCACACTACTGTGCCCTGTGGCTTCCATCTAGCACTGC